TGAGGTGGTTCAGTTCATCTTGGAGGAGGTGGGGTTCGCAGATTCTTTTTGCACGGTCTGCCAAGGCTTTAATGGTGCTTCTTTTTTTACTTGGGTGATGGTTGGAGTTTTTATGTAGATATCTATCTGTGTGTGTGGGTTTTCTGTAGACTGTCTGACCCAATTGTTGATCTGGTTTGCAGATGACTAGGACATCTAGAAAAGGCAGTCTTCCTTCATTTTCTTTTTCCATGGTGAACTGGATGTTTGGGTGGATGCTGTTAAGATGGTCCAGGAACCTGTTGAGTTCTTCTTCTCCATGGCTCCAAATGGTGAAGGTGTCATCCACATATCTGAACCATATCGTGGGCTTTTTGGTTGCTGTCTCCAGGGCTTGTTTTCAAAGTGTTCCATGTAGAAGTTAGCTATGACCGGGCTGAGAGGGCTCCCCATAGCTACTCCATCTTTCTGTTCGTAGAATTCATTGTCCCACTGAAAGTAACTGGTGGTGAGGCAATGGTGAAACAGAGCCGTGATGTCTTCTGGGAACCTCTGGTTGATGAGTGCCATGGTGTCTGCTACCGGGACCATGGTAAATAGAGATACCACATTGAAGCTGATCAGTTTGTCGTTGGTATTTAGCTTGAGATTGCTGATTTTTTCTATGAAGTGGGCTGAGTCCTTGATGTAGTGTGTAGTGAGCCCAATATGGCTTTGTAACTGTGCAGCAAGAAATTTTGCTAGGTCGTATGTGGGGGATCCAATGGCACTCACGATGGGTCTGAGTGGGGTGGAGTCCTTATGGATTTTTGGGAGTCCATAAAGCCTGGGTGGATGGGCTTCCGATTTACATAGCTGTTGTCGTATGTCAAAGTTTATTGAGGAGTTCTTAATCAGGGTGTTGGTTTTCCTGGTTATTTTGGCAGTTGGGTCTTGCTTGAGTATGCATAATTTCAGTTCCTTCAAAAGAATCCGTTTCTCATTACCAGCTCATGCCTACGGCAGACATACAAGGAAAGCTTTTATGCTTGATAAGACCATTCATGAAGTAGACTTTTATTGGAGGGTGTGTTTTATGGCCTGATGTAGCTGATGGGCTTAATGCAGTTTAGAGTTATTTTTTTAAAAAAAAATGCTGACACACCTTTTTTCAGGTGAATCATATTCTAAGCAACTGAACTCTTTAGCAAACAAAAGAGCAGCCACATTGTGTGAGTGACAATTTTTGAAGGCACATGCAAAGCTGCATATACAGTTGGTCCTTCATATCTATGGAGTTTGCACCTATGGATTCAACCATCCATGACTTGAAAATATCTTCCCCAAATTTTACAAAATAAGCCTTGTTTTTGCAATATTATACAAGGGATGCCGTTTTACCACGCCATGGTATATAATGGGACTTAAGTATCCACACGTTTTGGCATTAACTGGGATTCAGGACTAAACCCCAGCACAGTGTTTCTCAACCTGGGGGTCGGGACCCCTAATGGGGTTGCCAGGGGGTACCAGAGGAGTTGCCAAAGACCATAAGAAAACACACTATTTTCTGTTGGTCATGGGGGCTCCGTGTGGGAAGTTTGGCCCAATTCGATCGTTGGTGGGGGTCAGAATGATTTTTGATTGTAGGTGAACTATAAATCCCAGCAACTATAACTCCGAAATGTCAAGCTCTATTTCCCCCCAAGCTCCACCAGTGTTCAGATTTGGGCACATTGAGTATTCGTGCCAAGTTTGGTCCAGTTCCATCATCGTTTGAGTGTACAGGGCTCTCTGGATGTAAGTGAACTACAACTCCAAAACTCAAGGTCAATGTCCACCAAACCCTTCCAGTATTTTCTATTGATAATGGGAGTTCCGTGTGCCAAGTTTGGTTCAGTTCCATCGTTGGTGGAGTTCAAAATGATCTTTGATTGTAAGTGAAGTATATATCCCAGCAACTACAACTCGCAAGTGACAAAATCAATCCCACCCCGCCCCCTAACCTCACCAGTATTGAAATTTGAGTGTATCGGGTATTTGTGCCAAATTTGGTGCAATGAATGAAGATCCATCCTGTGTATCAGATATTTACATTACGATGCATAACAGTAGCAAAAATATAGTTATGAAGTAGCAACAAAAATAATTTTATGGTTGAGAGTCACCACAACTTGAGATACTGAATTAAGGGGTCGCGGCATTAGGAAGGTTGAGAAACACTGCCCCAGCAGATACCAAGGCCCTGCTGAATACAGACAGTTTCCATGTTACAAACAAGATAGTTTCTGTAAGTTTGTTCTTAAGCTAAATTTGCTGGTAAGTCAGAACAGGTACATTTTTAAGTGCAACTCCCTATGCTACCCAAAGCTATATCTATATAGCTTTGGATAAAATAGGGAAGGGTTAACGCCCTTTGGTGTTTGTTTTGCTTTCTGTGCCCTTCTTCAAAATTTTCGCCTCACCTTCTGTCCCTGCAATAATTAGATTTTTTGTCCCATATACCCAGTTCCAGCAGTCACATAATGAATATCAAAAAATAAATGACAATCAGATGGGCATTTGTCATGCGTAACCAAACTTGAAAGACTTATCACAGGGAAAAGGTCACTCAACTGGAGCTTTATCGTCAATCCTTGTTTCCACAGGCCAATTTTTTCCAAATCTAATTATCATAGAGGCAGAAAATGAGGTGAAATCATCTCAACAGAGGCGCAGAGAGCAAAACAAACTCCACAGGGGTGTTATCCCTTCTACATCCAACTTAAGAACAAACCTACAGAAACTTTTTTTTTGTAACTTGGGGACTACCAGTATTAAAAAAAATTATGTATGAAATTATCTTCAGGCTAAGTGTATAAACTGTATATGAAACATACGGGAATGTCATGTTTAAACCTGGGTCTGATGCCAAGACATCTCATTATCTACACACATTCAAATACATATGTTGCAAAATCTGTAAAAACCCTAAAATCCCAAACACTTCTGGCCATAAGTGTTTCAGGTAAGGTAGAGTCAACCTGAATTGGATTATTTTCATATCTGCAAATATAGGTACTCAAAAAGATATGGGGGGGGGGGGAATCCAAAATCCCAATTTGTCACCATGCAGTACACTGAAGAATTAATGCTATTTCATACCACTTTAACTGCCTTGGCTCAATGTTGTGGAATCCTGTTATTGGTTGTTACAGTATATAAGGCCTTTAGCTTTGTCTGCCAAAGAATGCTGGAGCCTCATAGAAAAATAGAGTTGAAGGAGACCACATGGGCCATCTAGTCCTACCCCCTGCCATGCAGGAAAGGCACAATCAAAGCACCTATGGCAGATGGTCATCCAGAATCTGTGTAAAAGCCTCAATGGAAGGAGCTTCTACCACACTCCGAGGCAGAGAGTTCCACTATTGAACAGCTCTTACAGTCAAGTTCTTCCTAACGTTCAGATAGAATCTTCTTTCCTGTAATTTCAGCCCATTCCCCCGAGTCCTAGGTCCCTTCCACACAGTTGAATAAATTCCCACAATATATGCTTTGAACTGGGATATGCCGCAGTGTGGACTCAGATTACCCAGTTCAAAGCAGATGCTGTGTGTTCTTCTGCCTTGACATTCTGGGTTATATAGCTGTGTGGAAGGGCCCCCTGTTTGTGTATGTCTTTTCTTCTTTGTGTCTTATGTTTTTCTTTCTCTCTGAAAGTCAATTACAAAAAAAATTACAAAAACAAACAAAACAAAACAAGATGTAGTTCTTCCATTGGAGACGTGGGTTTATATATGGTTCTTTCACACAGCCCTATATCCCAGAATATCAAGGCAGAAAATCCCACAATATCTGTTTTGAACTGGGTTATCTAAGCCCGCACTCAAATAATGTGGGATTTTCTGCCCTAATATTCTGGGATATAGGGCTGTATGGAAAGGTCCTGGGTTATCAGAGTCCACATTCAGATAATGTGGTGTTTTCTGCCTTGATATTCTAGGAAATAGCGCTTTGTGGATGAACCCACAATCCACAGTGCCATATATCACAGTTCAAAGCAGATAATGTGGGATTTTATTCAGTTGTGTGGAAGGAGCCAGCCCGATATCCCAGGATATCAAGGCAGAAAATTTATTTATTTACTTCATTTATATACCTCTTTTCTCAGCCCTTAGGCGACTCGCATTATCTGAGTGTAGACTCAGATAACTCAGTTCAAGGCAGATATTGTGAGATTTTCTCCCTTGATATACTGGGATATAGGGCTATGTGGAGGGACCTATAGTCCTCACTGCCATATATCCCAGTTCAAAGCAGATAATGTGTGATTTTATTCAGCCCTATATCCCAGAATATCGAGGCAGAAAATCCCACACTATCTGCTTTGAACTGGGATATATGGCAGTGTTGACTCCGATAACCCAGTTCAAAGCAGATAGTGTGGGATTTTCTGCCTTGATATTCTGGGATACAGGGCTGTGTGGAAGGGCCCTGGGTTATCTGAGTCCACATTCAGATATTGTGGGATTTTCTGCCTTGATATGCTGGGATATAGGGCTGTGGGGAAAGCCCTACAGTCCCCAGTGCCATATATCCCAGTTCAAAGCAGATAATGTGAGATTGTATTCAGTTGTGTGGAAGGAGCCAGCCTTCCACACAGGATCAAGGCAGAAAATCTCACATTTTCTGAGTGTGGACTCAGGTAACCTAGTTCAAAGCAGATAATGTGGGATTATCTGCCTTGATATTCTGGGATATAGGGCTGTGGGGAAGGGCCCTGGGTTATCTGATTCCACATCATGTGGGATTTTCTGCCTTGATATTCTAGGAAATAGGGCTGTGTGGAAGGACCCAGGGTGCCATATATCCCAGTTGTGGGGATGTTCTGCCTTGACAGGACTGTGGGGAAGGTCCCACGGTGTCCTTGTGCAGCCCTGCCATTGAGGGAAGCAGCTGTGGTTGGCGCCTTTAAAGCTTCCAAAACGGAGGAGGCATCCCATTGGCTGACGCGCCCTCTGCCCGGCCCCGGAAGTCGCTTTCCCCGCCGCTGCTGCCGCGCGAGGAGGAGGAGCCTCCTGGGAAGCCTTCCTTGTCTGAAGACTTTGGGGAAGCAGCGGCAGGAGCAGCGTTGCTCGCGGGTGGACGGGCTTCTTCCCATGCTGCTGCCTGGGCTGCCCTTGGGCCACGCGGCGGGAGGGCTGAGCATGAGCCGCGGCGCCTGAGCGAGAGAGAGAAGGAGAGGGAGAAGGGAGGATGCTGCTCTCGCTGGTGCTGCACACGTACTCCATGCGCTACGTGCTTCCCGCGGCGATGATGCTGGGCGCCGCGCCCACCTACGTGCTGGCCTGGGGGGCCTGGCGCCTCCTGGCCGCCCTCCTCCTCCCCGCCCGCCTCTACCACCGCGTCGACGACCGCCTCTACACCCTCTACCAGAGCATGGTGCTCTTCTTCTTCGAGAACTACACCGGAGTCCAGGTACACCAGCGCCGCCGCCACAGCCTCCAACACAGGCACTTTGACACCTCTACTCCATACTCTGGGATCATGGGGTGTTGAGGTTGGAAACATGCAGCCCTCCACGTGCTTAGCCACCTTCCTCTTGGCCCCAATGCAGCCACACTGTGGAATGAATGCACTTGGGCTCCACTTGGTTTGCCATGCCTCCTTCCCTCCATGTGCTCTACACCTTCCTTTCGACCCTGCTGCAGCTACACTGTAGAATGAAGGCACTTTGATACCACTATTCACTGCTGTACTTCAGTGCTATGGCATCATAGGGTTTGTTTGTTTATTTACTCACTATATTCCTATACCGCCCCTCTCAGCCCTCAGGCATCTCAGGGAGGTTTACAGTCAACATTAACGACATAAAATACAATTGAAACAGTTAATTTAAATATAAAACCAGATAAAACAATATTTTGTGGTCAGAAACATGCTGCACCTCCACCTGTTGAGCACTTCCACTTGACTCTGGGTGAAGCTACGTTGTGGGAGGCGAGTTTTTCGGGCTGTACGGCCATGTTCCAGAAGCGTTCTCTCCTGACATTTTGCCCACATCTATGGCAGGCATCCTCCAAGGTTGAGAAGTCTGTTGGAAACTAAGCAAGTGAGGCGACCAATTGCAACATCCACAGTTGCCTCAAACAGGGCCAGCTGACACCGCCCAACAAAGGATTCCTTCAGGCAGGAAGCAGCCAGGCTTTGAAACTGCAAGGCCATTCAATGCTAATCAAGCTGGCTAGTTACAACATTCGCACCTGCCTCAAGCAGACAAGAGTTCTTTCTCCCACCCTGGACATTCCACAGATGTATAAACCCCACTTGCCTAGTTTCCAACAGACCTCACAACCTCTGAGGATGCCTGCCAAAGATATGGGCAAAACATCAGGAGAGAATGCTTCTGGAACATGGCCATACAGCCCAGGAAACCCACACAACTCAGTGATTCTGGCCATGAACGCCTTCGACAATACATCGTAGAATGCTTGCAGTTTGATACCGCTATAACTCTCACCACTTAATGCTATTGAATCATGTTGTTTGTGGTTGGAAGCGTGCTGCCCTACACGTGTTTTTAGGCACCCACACTGTAGAATGAATGCACTTTGACCCCACTTGGTTTGCTATGGGTCAACGCTATGGAAGCATTCTGCCCTCCACATGTTTTGCACCTTCATTTTGACCCAGGTACAGCTACACTGTAGAATGAATGCACTTTGACACCACCACCACTACTACTACTACTACTCAGTGCTATGGCATCCCAGGAGTTATAGTTTCAAATATGCTGCAACTCCCAGAAATCCCAACCAGTTTACCAGCTGGGAGTTGAAGGCAAAACATCTGGGGCTTCATAGGTTGAGAACCACTGCTCTTTAACTGTAATGGCTCAATGCTATGAGATCGGGGAGTTTGTCTTTTAGTAAGGCACCAGCACTCTTTGGGAGAAAAGCTAAAAGACTTTGCAAAACTACAACTCCCAGGATCCCATACCTTGAGCCAAGGCAGTCGGAGTGGTGCTAAACTGGATTAATAATATGCTGTAGATCAGGGGTGTCAAATTCATTTTCATTGAACTCCACATCAACCTTGTAGTGAATTGCCTTCAAAGGGACATTGACTCCATAGATCAGTGGTTCTCAACCTGTGGGTCCCCAGATGTTTTGGCCTTCAACTGCCAGAAATCCTAACAACTGATAAACTGGCAGGGATTTCTGGGAGTTGTAGGCCAAAACACCTAGGGACCCATAGGTGGAGAACCACTGCCATAGATGGAAAATCTGTGGAGACAGAAGACCAACTAGGATTTTTTTCACAAAGTGGTCAGTGCCTTTTAGCTTTTAGTTCAACTTGGTTCCCCAGATGTTATTAAACGACAAATCCCATCCCTTTTAATTATCCACCCTGAGGACTGGGGATAATTGGAATTGCAACCCAGCAGCACTTGTGGCTCTAAGATTGGGGAAAGGTTAAAGGAGATTTTAAAGTCAGGAATCATATACACAGGTCTTCCATCTAAATCCAAACTCTGCTCTCCTTACTAAACAAAACAAAGGCCATCTCCAGATGTTACTGTATCGCAATTCCCGTCAGCTCTAATCATGAGAAACACAGGAATTGTAGTCCAGAGTCTTTGAGGCCACATAAAATGTCATGGCAGGCTGTCTTTGGCCCATGGGCTTTGAGTTTATGTGGCGTAGACACGGTGACCCAGTTCAGGAGAACTGAGAGTGAGGCTTCCCCAAGGCCACCCAGTGGATCTGACTGAGATGGGATTGGAACTCAAAATAATGATGGCTCCTTTATTCCACGCTAACTGCTACGATTCCTTCTCATGGGATCCTTGCATTTGTACAATTCAGTGGCACTTGCACATTTGTGGGCTGACTTCTGCGGATAGGATTGAAGTGTCCTCTCTAGGATTCTCTATGTTAGTGGTTCTCAACCTCTGAGTCCCCTCTGGCCTTCAACTCCCAGAAATCCTAACAGCTGGTAAACTGGCTGGGATTTCAGAGAGTTGTAGACCAAAACACCTGGGGATCCACAGGTTGTCTTCCAGTTCAATCCTAAGATTGGTTTCTGCCAGAGTTGTGCTGGAGGACCTAAGACCCGTCGCAAACTCTGTTCCTGCGGGAGCAAACCTTGCTAGCACGTCCCTGACGTCATGAGACTCCGCCTCTTGCCCTGCCCCTTTCTCCGCCTCTTTCTCCTTGCGAGAGTGGTTTTTCCTTTGCTAGGGCAGCATTGCCAGCATACTCTCTCAGTTGGCAGAATTCAACTGAGAGAAAATGCGGGCAATGCTGCCCTAGCAAAGGAAAAACCACGCTGGCAAAGAGAAAGGGGCGGAGAAAGGGGCGGGGAGAGAGGCGCAGGCTCATGACGTCAGGGACGTGCTAGCAAGGTTTGCTCCCGCAGGAACAGAGTTTGCGACGGCTCTAAAGATTCCTAGAGAGGTATTCTCTCAGCTGTTCTTGATTCTCTACTTTTGCAAGGAACCAGTGCCCCTAATCCTAGTGAAGTAGAGGGCTGTTTATAGAGGCAAACTCTGGCTGAGATTTATTCATATCCCTCTCTAAAATGCCAGCCCCAGGATTCCACAGGATGTTGCCATGACAGTCAAGATGGAATAACACTATACAGTCTTCTATCCTGATGTTTCGCCTGCATCTATGGCAGGCCTCACAACCTCTGAGGATGCCTGCCGTAGAGACAGGCGAAATGTTAGGAGAGAGTGCCTAAAAAACCTACAACAACCCCACCCCCTTTAGCTTCCTGATGCCATAAATTTGCCAATGGAAGGAGAGCAAGGAAGGGGCCATCATGGTCTTTCTAGGGAAGGAGTTCCAGAGTCTTGGAGCAACCACTAAAAGGGCCCTCTCCTTTGTTCCCTCTAAATAAGCCTGGGGCTCTGATGGGACAGAGAAGGGGGGCAGAGGATCATTAATGCAGATACAATCCCTCAGATAGCCTGGACTCAACTGTATGAGGTTTTATAGGTCACAATCAGCACTGAGTTGTGCCCAATCCAACTGTTGCCATAAGGCAAGTGTAGTGCTCTGTAGCCAGCCCTAGTTACTAATCTGCTACAGCTCTTTGAAGTTTCTGAATACTTCTTTGAAAGCAGCCCCATATAAAGCATATTAAAATAATTGAAACGGGAAATAACCATGGCATGTGTTAACATGTTCATATCCGACTTCTCCCGATTCTTCGCTGTAGTTGGAGCACAAGCTTTAACTGCGTAAAGGTCATTGCTGAAACCTGGGCCTCCAATCTGAATGTAGGAGTGCCCCAAACTGAAAGCCTGCATTTTTGGTGGGGCAGAACCTTTCCTAACACTGGCTGCATACCTGTTCTCAGATCTATTTTTCAACTAACCAGGACCACCTCTATTTTTGCTGGGTTAAGCTTAAATTTTTCATGCATCCAGTGCATTACAGCTTCCAGGTCCTGGTTTAGCACAGGAAGAGATTCTTTGATTTTAGGTGGACCCGAGTAATAGAGCTGGTGTTACTGATCCTCAAACTCCAGTCAACATTGCTCAGCAGTTTCATGTATATGTTAAATAGCATAAGGAATACTACTCATTCAGCCGTGAAACACTCCACAAGCCAACAGCAAAGGAGTCAAACAGAGATGCCCTAGCATCATTCTTTGAGAATGCCTGTCCAGGAAAGACTTGGCATCCAAGTCAGGCCGCTTCCAGACAACACTTTAACCCATACCGAAGAGGGTTTAAAACACCTGCTTCAGTGCGGATTAAAGTCTGCACACCTCCTCCCAAAAATTGCGCTTTCCCAGAGGAGTGTCTAGATGCTCTCCCAGTACCTTTTGGGAGGAGACCCAAAATAGCTCTAAAATAAAAGAACTTACCCAGCCACCATTATGCTTTCGGCATGCTTTTGGAAAGTACCAATGTAGCACTAAGAGACCAGAGGGAGCGATTCTCCCTCCCCTTAGCACTACAATTGTATGTTGCAAAAAGTATGCCGAAAAGCATAATGGCAGCCAGGTAAGTTTTTTATTTTATTTTAAAAGTTTTGGGGAGGAGGTGGATTTTCTCTTCACTTCTCCGAGTCCACTGGGCCAAAGAAGCGAATTGAGCTGTGCGGACCGACCCATTCCATAGTCCTAGGACTACGTAGGGGTCAGTCCCCACAGGTCCCATATTCCGTACGACCCAGGTTTAATGCAGTATCAAATTAATTTGGGTTTTCCTGCTTTGTCTCAAATTAATTCGATTTTACTGGACATGTCGCTTGGATGCCTCCGGTAAAATTGTGGGAGCTCCTGTATTATGGTCCCTGCCTGGATGGGCCCTCTGAGTGAATCTGGACTATTTTACTTGTGAAGTGGAAGGGAAATTATTCACACTGATCTGTTGACTGACTTAAATTCTCCTATGGGTCAGATTGTGGCAATTCCCTGATCACTCAGAACTGCTACACTGGATGGTTCTGTGATGATGGCAC